TTTGCTAGCTTCAATTTGATTGTGCGGGAATCCAAATATAGCACGGAGAAGGCCTTGCCGTGATAGCGCTCTACGTACTGAACACCGGACCAAGTGCATGGTTTTGATTGGATTGCTTTGATTGTGCCACTGTCGCACTGTTTGTTGAACCACTGCACTATTTGTCAACTGTAGCACTTTCTAAATACCAAACTCAACTTTCAATGCAACGTTTTTTCTTTTGCCAGTGTTCCTTCCGTAAGACTATTCCGAAAGTATAGTTTGTGCCCTGATTCGAACGTGATTGAGGTGTTGGACAGTGCCGTTGGTTGAACTTGCGCTGCGACATGTCTTAAATGAACTGTTGGATGATGGGGCGGTGTGCAGCCTGTGGATGGCTCTTGGTCATAACGCGACACAGGTGTCTCAACGCCCGTGGCCCTATAATCCCATCTAAAACCGGCAAGCATCTCTACAAGGCGATTCGCGTCCCGCACCACAATCCACTCCGGCGAAGTGGGACCGCAGCATATTTACAGCGTATTTGTAGCGTATTTCTTTTGCGCATATCGAGCAATTCCTTCCCGATTTGCCGCCGTTTTGTGCGCGATTTCCATCCACGGCTCTCGACCCCGTTTTCCCTGGCGGAGCGGCCAGGCCTGAGCCGAATCTCCCGCACCCGCGCAGGAGATGTTCCCCCAGCTGGCGGACCCCAAGTACCCCAACCTCCCCGAGGAGCTGAAGTTCATCCACGCCGAGGAGATCCTGGAAAAGTACCCGGACCTGCCGCGTAAGGAGCGCGAGACGCGCATCGCCCGCGAGTACGGCGCTGTCTTTATCGTCGGCATCGGCTGGACCCTCAAGGACGGCCACCCCCATGAGATGCGGGCCGCCGACTACGACGACTGGGTGACGGAGACGGAGGAGAACGGCATCAAGCTGCACGGCCTGAACGGCGACATACTCGTGTGGAACTCCGTCACGGGCCGGCGGCACGAGCTGTCGTCCATGGGCATCCGGGTGAACGCGGAGACGCTGGTGAAGCAGCTGGAGATGACGGGGCAGACGGACTTCCTTCGCCAGCCGTATCATCAGGTGGGGCGGGACTCGTGTGGCATGAAATTAGTCTCTCTGTCTTGTCCGTGAAGATACCTTCTTGTTTGGACACCCTAAGCCCCAAACCACCGACCCACTGACCCACGTTGATCTTGTCAGCGGCAGAAGAAGGGGGCCTCACGAAAAGAACAGAGGAACTAATATATTATCGACTCTGGCATGGTTTTGGGTGTGAAGATACCTTCTTGTTTCGACACCCGAAGCCCTAACCCACTGACCCACTGACCCACTGACCCACGTTGATCTTGTCAGCGGCAGAAGAAGGGGACCTCACGAAAAGAACAGAGGGACTAATGTATTCTCGACTCTGGCATGGTTTTGGGCGTGAAGAGCTGAGATTTGTTACAGAAAGAGAATGCAAATCCTTGCAGGCAACGTGAAAAATTGACGCACTGGCCATGCCACGTGTCTCTGCTGAACTCGGATGGTCAAAGCGGCGTCCCTCTACAACGACCGCACAATAATTGGCAGAAACCACACCCCCACAGCATTAAAGCACGTGTTACAGAAAGAGAAAGAAACAGATCACACAAAGTGCATCCCCTCTTAGGCGAGTGTGTTCGAAACTGTTTTGCATGCTGGGAAAAGGTGACGTGCAGTCTCCGGTGACGGTTAAGGGTGAATCGGTAATGGTGTTGACATCGCATTTGCATGCGGGCAAATCTGAGTCGCCATTCTGGATTTCCCAAGGCCTCGTCCAGTGTCTGGCGGGTAGGTCTGTCGCCAATTGGTCGCGGTGAGAGTGAGACGAGAGGGGCAATTGTCGCGGGCAGCTGATCGCGGTGCCGGACGTCGCCCCTGCTGATTGCGGCGCAGCCAAGATCCGTTTCAGGGGCAGCGGCATGTTGAGAGTGGCCCCAGTCCGACCGCACCATTCCAATTTCCGAATGCTCCCTAACCGTTTGTTGTTGCAGCCAACATATTGTCACTGGTGAAGATTCTATTGTGACTGTCGATTGCCGACAAGGATATCTTTGCGGATGGAGTTTCATCGGAAAAGAAAATGGATAAATTGGCCATGTTTTTGAGGGCCCCTTTTCTCCTCACCAGTTCCGGGTCATGCACCAGTCTGTAGGTTTGTGTGCAATGAGTAAGCGTTCCGAGATGCGCCTTGCTCAGGGAATTGTGACGGGCGACCTTCCTCTCAGCGTGGGAGGGGGCATCGGCCAGTCGCGAACGTACATGTTGCTGCTGAAGAAGGCGCACATCGGCGAGGTCAGCGTCACCGTGTGGCCGAAGGTCTTGAAGGACATGTGCAAGGAAAGGAACATTCATGTGCTCGAGTAAAAGCGACATCAGAGGACTGCTCAGACGTTCATGGAGGGCGGCGCACTGCGCCGTTGTGGCGTTTCGAAGGGAATTCGATGTGGGCAGAAATATGTGTCAATCGGTGTTCTACAGTTTATTTGCAGGGACACGTTGGGTTTGGTCGCTGGGTCAGCTTCTTGTTCCATCGTATTGTTTACCTTTTGAGATTGCGCGGCTGTGGTGGGAACGAGAGGCGATTTTGCACCCAGTTGCGTTGGCAAGACGTCGTCAGGCACGGAAAGCTCCCAGCAAACACTGGGAATTCGATGTGGGCGGAAATATGTGTCAATCGGTGTTCTACAGTTTATTTGCGGGGACACGTTGGGTTTGGTCGCTGGGTCAGCTTCTTGTTCCATCGTATTGTTTACTTTTAGAGATTGAGCGGCTGTGGTGGGAACGAGTGGCGATTTTCTACCCGGTAGCGCTGGCAAGACGTCATCAGGCGCGGAGAGTTCCCAGCAAACACTGGGAACTCGATGTGGGCAGAGTTATGTGTCAATCGGTGTTCTACAGTTCATTTGCAGTGGCACGTTCAGTTTGTACGCTGGGTCAGCTTGTTGTTCCATCGTATTGTTCACTTTTTGAGAACGTGCGGCTGTGACGGGAACGAGAGGCGATTTTGTGCCCAACAGCATTGGCGAGACGTCATCAGGCACGGGGGGTTTTCCCAGGAAACACTGTTTCGAAGGTGACGCTCAATATGAAAGTAAGGCAGGGTTCGGAACCTAGGAACGTGCAGCGCTAGAAAGTTGAGGTCCAGGGGAGTTTCATAGCGGGATGTCGTGCGCGGCCGAAGAGTCCAATTTTGGTTGACCGTTCCATCATCAAGTATGCAGTTGTGAAGGGGGCGCGTTGTCCGTGGGCTGAAGGTTGCATCGGGCAAGGTTCATTCCTTCGACGGCGGTCCCCCGGCATGAACTTCAATTCCACTGTATATAGCACACTCGCCGGTGCGCTCTGATGGAGTGGGAATGCTACACACGGTGGGAGGTGTAGAGCGGCACGCGCTGTTGTTTTTGGATCTGTTGCAATTCGTGTGCATTGTAAAGAATTTGGGTGGGAGATCGCCGCGGCTGTCTAATGTTCTCTGGCGCGATGTTCTGCACACAATGTGTGGGTCTCAGGCCAATGACGTGGAATGCGATGAACGATAGAGTAGCTTTTTGGCAGAACGCTGAAGCCTGGGCATTAGTGTGCGCCTGCCCTCCCCGCCTCGGCCAGCAAGTGGAGATTGCGCCCAATTTCCAACGCGGATCTTACGGCGGCCATTGCGCCCAGGCGTGCAGAGTGATAGGCCAATCAATCGGGAAATGTAACGGACCAAGACAATTAAAAGGGGTGCGCGTGCTCCTTTCTCGAGAAGCAGCTCCACATGGCGTTAGCAACGCAAAGCAAGGAGTTTCGGCAACGAAGCCAACAACCACAAGGTTTATTTCTGGGAGAATTCTCGGATGGAACATGAAGAAAGCGTCTTTGCGAATATCCATCTTGCAAGGCGTTTTCTTCATGTTGCATCAGAGAATCCATATGTCGCGTCGCGACAACAGCGAAATAGTCGGTGCAACTGGCGATGAGGAAAATTGTTAAATGTCTTCTTCCACCTCTACTACGCGCAGGCCGTGTTAAAAGTAGCAAAAGAAACCCACAGCTTCAAGGTCAGATTGGCAGCTTGGGCACGAGGAGATTGAATACTCCATAGAGATTAAACCGGGTGCTGGTCGGACTGCGCTGGCTTTGGAGGAGTGACGCGGTCGGTTGTGGCTCGTTGCTTTCAAGAAACCCTATTGATAGAGCATACATCTACCTGATGAAGGCAATTTTCGGCGGAACGAAGTTGAGTTGTTGGGCACATTGGAATAATTCAGACGGTCAACTGGTGAACATCTTCAAAGCGGGTTGTTGAGGTCCTTTGACTTGTAACCTTACAAGGGCGAGCCCAGTGCGCACCCCTGACCACCCGTGCATACACGAGAGGGCGTCGTCACCGCCATTAAAAAGATTACACACCAAGGCGTCAGGTTGCTCACAATTAACCCGGACTGCCACGTCCGCTGAGCCAGTTAATTCGCCACCGATGCCAGCCGCCTTTCGTTATTCGTAAGGTGAATGCGCATTGCTTTGCAAAATATCTGGGTTCTTGACGAGTGTCTCAATCCGGCTCCCTATACCGCAGCATGAGCCTTGAGCTGAGCCAAGAATACGGCGCTGCAGCGACAGGCCACGGCACCATGACACAAGGCGGCACAGAGCTCACCAGTGTCACTACTGTGCTCGATTCCACCGTTGGAGTGAGCCACCAAAATTAGCCACAAAGCCAAGAAAAATGCACCAGCATCGCGCCTGTGCAGAGCACCGCAGCTGCTGGGCGTCGTGCTCTATGCTGGAAAGAATAGTTACAATGCGCTCCCCAAAATTTATCACAACCAAATTTTGAACTGGTTCGATGCGCCTTCCCGCCCTCTGACTGCCTCCAGCGGCCCCGTGGCAGTGGGGTTCCATCAAAGGGCCCAGAGCCCCATCAGTGGGCGCAAAAAATAGGAAATGGCGAGTTGGTTGCCCATTCTCACTCCCTCTAGCCTACCCTCGGATTTGGCATGCTATGACTTGGCGCCAACCAACGAATCTTCCACGGTCTTGGGTGGCAGCTCAAACCCCATTTCCTCAACCACCGGCAAACAGCGCTCGCACAGCTGTGGGTGCCGACCATCTGACCCAACCTGCTCGCTCCAGTTCCAACACCGTGCACATTTTCGCCCATCCGCCCTGGACACGCCGACTGTCACGCGGCCCAGACCCTGCACGTCAACACTCACACAGTGAGGCGCCTGGCCAGCTGCGTCCTCAGTCGTCTTCTCCACACTCGAAGTGATGAAAATGTAGCGCAGCTCGTCGACGCCGTTTGCGTTGGGACCAAAAGACACTGCCCGCTCAATTTTGGACGGATCCTCCATGTGGATGAGCACCTTTGCCTCCAGGGGTGCCCCGATCAGCTTGTTCTCCCGTGCGACCTCCAGGGCCTTGGTGACGACCTCCCGAAGGCGGAACACGTGCTCCCAGGCCAGCACGTCATCATCACTCCACTGACTACGCCATTCATCGTCAGGGGCGCGCCAGCCATTCTTGAAAATGGAGTGACGGCGCCCATCTGCTGGACTGTGCCAACAGGACCAGGCGTCCTCAGCCATGTGGGGGAGGATGGGCGCGATGGAGGAAAGCAAGCCTGCGAGGATGTGGTGCATCGCTGTCTGGCAGGCGCGTCGGGAGCCTGAAGACCGGCCCTGCACATACAGCCTGTCTTTTGCCACATCGAAGTAGAAGTTTGACAGGTCGACGATGACGAATCTCTGGATGCCTTGGAAGACTTTAGAGAACTGGTACGAGCTGTACGCGCTGTCCAGTTCCATCTGAACAGAGTGAAAGCGACCGAGAATGTACCGATCCAGAGAGGGGAGGCTTTGGTATGCAACTGAGTGCTGCTGAGCATCAAAGTCAGACAGACTGCCCAACAGAAATCGGATGGTGCCTCGTATCTTCCTATAAACTTCTGCCGTCTGCTTCAATATGTTGGGCCCAAAGATAACGTCGTTGGTGTAGTCAACCGCTGCCACCCACAAGCGCAGCACGTCCGCGCCATAGGCAGGTTCTTTCTTCAAGTTCTTCCCTCCCTCGATCACCACCTTGGGATCCAGTACATTGCCCACACTCTTGGACATCTTCTTTCCCGACTCGTCCAGAATGAAACCGTGGGTCAGTACGGCACCATAGGGAGATTTCCCATTGACAGCAACACTTGTCAGCAGTGAGCTCTGGAACCAACCCCTGTGCTGATCCGAGCCCTCAAGGTACAGGTCCGCAGGGTACCTCAGGCCCGGCAGCTTCTCTGCCACTGCTGCCCAGCTCGAGCCCGAATCAAACCACACGTCCATCGTGTCTTGGCCCTTCTTAAGACTGCCAGCTCGTTCCTTGAGGCCCTCAGGCAGCAAGTCCTCCGTCGGCATCTGCCACCAAGCATCGGTGCCATGCTTCCTGACGACCTCTGCAATGTGGGCTATAGTCTCCTGTGTCATGAGGGGCTCCCCTGTTTGGACATCATAGAAGGCAGGGATTGGCACGCCCCAACGCCTCTGCCTAGAGATGCACCAATCTGTTCGACCCTCCACCATGCCGTTGATCCGATTGAACCCAGAGGCAGGCATCCACGACGTGGACTTGATGGCTTCCAGGGCCTCCTCCCTGAAGCCCTCCACAGATGCAAACCACTGCTCCGTGGCCCTGAAGATGACTGGCTTCTTGGTCCTCCAGTCGTACGGGTACTTGTGAACATAGGGCTCCTCCTTGATGAGCAGTCCCTGCTGCTCCAACTCTGCCAACACAGCCTCGTTCCCCTCTTTCAGAACTGCCATTCCAGAGAATCGGCCTGCCGCCTCTGTGAACACCCCATTGTCATCAACGGGGGTGAAGATCTCAAGGCCGTACTTAAGGGCCACCTGGTAGTCCTCCTGGCCATGTCCGGGTGCCGTGTGCACGAGGCCACTGCCCGCATCCGTAGTTATGTAGTCTCCCCCAAGGATGACGGGCTGCACTTTGTCAGGGAACAGCGGGTGCCGATACGTCACCCCTTCAAGATCCCTGCCCTTGAAGGCACTCACAGCAGTCAGCTGCTTGCCGAGCTTCTCCGACAGACGCCCCACGAGCTCGGCGGCAACCACAATTTGGCCACCCTCGCGGCCGCCTTCGCCACTGACTGCCGCCGCGACGTAGTCGATTTCAGGATTCACGGCCACAGCGCGGTTGGCCGGGATTGTCCATGGCGTCGTGGTCCAAATGGCCAGCGAGGACGGCCCATCCGCCCTGATCACGCCGTTCCCATCCACAACCTCCAGCGCCACGTAGCACGACCTCGACGTGTGGCCCTCGGGGTACTCCAGCTCGGCCTCGGCCAGGGCGGTCTGGGAGGACGGGCTCCAGTGCACGGGTTTCCTGCCCCTGTAGATGTGCCCCTTGGCCACCATCCTCCCGAACACACCCAGCTGGGCGGCCTCGTACTGCGGCTGCATCGTCACGTAGGGCTCCTCCCAGTCCGCCCACACGCCGTACCTCTTGAACTGCTCCCTCTGCGCGTCGATGGTCTTCTGGGCGAAGTCCCTGGCCTTGCGCCGCAGCTTGATGGGCGTCAGTTCTAGCTGCCTCTCCCGCGGCATCGACTGCAGGACCTTGAGCTCGATGGGCAGGCCGTGCGCGTCCCACCCTGGCACGAACCTGGCCCTCCGCCCCTTGAGCAGCTGGTACCGGTTGATCACGTCCTTCAGGATCTTGTTCATGGCGTGCCCCATGTGTAGGTCGCCGTTGGCGTAGGGCGGCCCGTCGTGCAGCGTGAACACCTCCCCCGGGTTGTTCGCCCACAGGTCGCCGTACACGCCCTCCTCCGCCCACCACCTCTGGATCTCCGGCTCCCTGACCGCGGAGTTTGCCCTCAGGCTGAACGCCGTCTGCGGCAGCGTGACCGTCTCCCTGTACGGGTTGTCATCCTGCGCCTTGGCCTTCGCACCCGAGGCCACATCCCGTCTGGGCGCCGCCCACAGGAGCCCGCCGACGCGGAACGGCTCCGGGCCGCATGGCATCGGCCGCCGGAAAATCATCCTCTGGCGCGGAAGGGGCATCGCGCGCGTGGGCCCGCCAGAACCGGCGCCGCGGATCGGGAAGAGGGGGGAGGTCGCACCGGGACGGACCCAGGGCGCCCCGGCGGCGAGGGCCCCGCGGTGGGAGAGCATGGCACCTGCGCCTGGGCGCGGGCGCGCACGGCTGCAGCCGCCGGCGCCGGGCCACACGTTTTTGGCGGGAAGCGTCGCCCGGTCAAATGCAGCCAAACCCCTACTTTGGTGGTGGCCAATGGGCTTGGTTCACCGGAGGCCGGCACGATAAGCGCCCGACTTGGACGTGTGTGCTGCGGGCGCTGGGCCCCAAAGTATGCACTTTCTTGCCAGTTCCATTTAGGTCTAAAAACACCTAAAATCGAATAACCGAAAACACCTCAAAACCTAACCCCTCTTGAGATCCCTAAAACCGAAAATGAACTTCATGACTGGCAATGAAGGATATCGAACATCTGTACATTGTACGGCGTGTCTTGACATCTCGCGCGAGTGGACCTTGCTGCCACATACAAGAAGCGCACTTGAAAAGCATGTCGTTGTGCAGTGCTGCACGGATTTGTCCAGACACTACTGCAACTGGCCAGTAGCTGCCAGCTGGCAGAGGCCGATGACCGGTCCACATCCTGAGCGCAGTTAGCTAGCTGCTGGCAGCAACATGTGCACCCCTGCACATATGTCACCACCTTCACTGTCCACACCATACGAGATTCACAAGCAATCCGCCAGTCCACAAGCAACAGCTGCGTCTTGGTGCACTGCAGCAATTAGCCTTGCCGCATCCACAGGTGGCGACATCTCTATCCAGTCGCCGACTCTCGCCACACACGTCCTCAAGGAACACACTGCGACCACGACCCGCGGCTCATCGCCTCCTAGAGACAACCCGAAGGGGGTCGGCATTTCTCTAAATGCTGCACAACAATACTGCTTTGAACACAAGCTCTGAAACGGAAGCGATGGCAGGTGCCCATCATACCGTGTCGCAGCGGATTGTGAAGTTCACGACGTGAACGGCACAGTGAAGCACTTGGCATGTAACATTGCCCGGCTTGAATTGAATTGAAATTTTTGAGGACGTCAGTCCGACATGGCGGGCAGGTTCGCCTCCGCTCCCCCCGCCGCCGTCATGTGACGCAAGTGAACACAGCCGCTGATGAGCCCGTGAAATGCTGTCCAGATGGGGGCACAGACGGTCGCGGAAGATCGGCAGCAGTGCTGAGCGGCAGTTGTTCCGTTGCTGTACGTCACACGCGTTGCTTTTGGCCGTGCCGTTGAGCGTCCGTTGTGCGGCGCAGATCAACTGTCCATCCTGTTCCACGCTCTCATCACAGGTGAGGCGGGGTGAGGCATGGCGCGAAGTGTAGCTGGCGGCTCTGAGTAAAGGGCCACAGCAATTTACCCTCGAAGAGTGGGCACTTGCAATGCTTGTGGTGTTTGTGCGGACTGGAAGTCCCAGAGCCACGGCAGTCATTCCCGAAGGGGGGGATGAGCGACAGCCGAGCGTCGTATGGAGTTCCTTGCTGCTGTCAGTTTGTTTGCTCGGCTGCCGGCAGTTCCTTGTTCCCTTGCGGTGCTGTCGCAGGGGGCACAGGCAGCAAACAATAGGTTACAGCTCGTTTGCAGCGCCTCAGCAGCCAGCAGCAAGCCACAGAATAAATCCACTTTCGTTACTGACACAATAATAGAGGAGAGCCAGGTGCAAACGTCAGCTTGAGATGTGCGTCCCTCTGCAGCCGTCGATCGAAAGAGCAATCACTCAGTCCGTGCATACCAAGGTCATCTGAGGACAAACGCATGCGGTGCAACTGTTGGAGCCACAATCAAATTCTTGATAGTTTCTATGTCGTGGAATGCATTCACAGCCAACCAAATCCGAAATCCTGCTCTCCCTAACCATCTTCGTAATGGCCTCCTCATGAGCCCAGATGGTGTTTCTGGCTATCAACAGGTCTTTTTGTCCTTTTCCTCGTGTTGCCAAATCTCAAAAATGTTAAAACCCATAGTCGAACTGTGAATCGGGCATTGTGCTGCGCGCCATGGCCCTCATGTACTCCTCATATGCCTGTTCGCCAGTCTTCAGGTTTGTCACCGTAAACCCACAGTCCTCTGCCACCGCCTTCAGCCTTTGTCCAGTCTCTGCTGCACTCAGTGGTGCAGTTGCCTTGGCGCCCGGCTTTGCATCCTGATTGCACTCTTTTCTGTGTCGCTTCCAGTCCTGCCTTTGGCATTCCCTTGAGCAGTAAAACGTCTTGTTGCACCCGCCACACTTCTTCTTGGCGCCCGCCGTCCCGCAGTGGTGGCACGTCAGTTGCTTGCTTACAGTTGATTTCTCTCCACTGCCACTGCTGCCTTTGGCTGCAGCAGCCTTTGACTGGTGACCCTCCTCTACACCTGCACCAGGTTGAAACCTACTGTTGCAGTGGCCTATCGATTGACATTTTGATTTCTTCCATTGGCAGCAAACCATTCGGATCGCTGCCCACGTAGCTTTCTTAAGTACTGTGCGGGCCCATCGAGACCAAGGCAACATTATTGCGCAAATCACAATTGCACACAGGCTTGCTGCAGAAGCTTTTTGGCTTCCGTTACCCTTACTGCTCCCTAATGCAAAGCCGGGAAACGATTGCCACCATTGCTTACAGCATGCATAGAACATGCCACAACACCTCCTTGCGCTGCAAACCTGCTGTCCAGTACTGTGCGGGCCCATCGAGACCAAGGCAACATTATTGCGCAAATCACAATTGCACACAGGCTTGCTGCAGAAGCTTTTTGGCTTCCGTTACCCTTACTGCTCCCTTATGCAAAGCAGGGAAACGATTGCCACCATTGCTTACAGCATGCATAGAACATGCCACAACACCTCCTTGCGCTGCAAACCTGCTGTCCAGTACTGTGCGGGCCCATCGAGACCAAGGCAACATTATTGCGCAAATCACAATTGCACACAGGCTTGCTGCAGAAGCTTTTTGGCTTCCGTTACCCTTACTGCTCCCTTATGCAAAGCAGGGAAACGATTGCCACCATTGCTAACAGCATGCATAGAACATGCCACAACACCTCCTTGCGCTGCAAACCTGCTGTCCAGAACAAGACGTACCAGTAAGACAGTGGCCAACACGTTACGCAGCACTTTGCATTTGCCAATAAAGGGAATGCACCTATTCTTGAGTGCCAGCTGCCATCCATACTAAACACGGATGTTAAATGGACGATCCATACCTACCACTCAACAGCATCAACTCTTGTTAATCAAGGGAGTCGTGCTACAATTGCATGACATGCAAACTGCACGACTGGAATACGTCGCCTAACCCATTGAGGACAGAGCGTAGTGGTCAAAATCGGCTTGGATGCGAGAAAAGGCTGCAAAAGATTTGGAGGTCCTAAAGATGCCAAACAATTGTTCAAGCCCCTCAAGTCACGCTTCCACTCTGCGGCGGCGCTGCTATTACGCAGATGGCCATCGAGCCACCTTCGTTCTGTGCACCACAACAGCCACTCAGTATTCCTGGCGCAAAGGCCATTTGCACCCTGCATTGACGCTGATGCTGTTGCCGGGGTTCGTTGGTGTTGGAGCTGCGAGTCACCTGATTGTCACCTGACCGTGTTACTGGCAATAGGGTGATGGGGTGGGATGCGGTACTCACAAGAACTGCCCGCACCATTTGAGGGGCGGGGTGGCGATTCGGGGGCCTCGCCCATGCTTTGCATGCACACATCTAGCGCACGCATCAAATCCTGTGTAGCGACAGGTTGCCTGAAAAACCCAACATACGATCCACAATACTGCGCAGTCGGCCAAAGGGCGTCATGGAAAATTCTGTCCGTCCCCTCTGCGGGGACGGCGCCAGCTCACTTCGGTATCCTGTCCGACGAGGGGACGCGACAAAATCCGCGACAACGGCGAACTCTTCATTGAAACCGTTCTCAGTCCGGGCCAATGCTACAGACAGCGCCGCCAGTCAACGCGCTGCTTGACCGCCTGCAAGCGACGCCGGGATCCCGCCCACCCACCCGCCCACCCACGGACTCCCGCACACGCAAACAGCCCAAGCCCGGCTCCCCTCCCCGCGGCACCTCCCCCACGATCGGCATCCTCCCTGGCCGCGCGCAAAAACCCAACCCCAGCCAACCCAGAAGCCTGCAACCCCTCTTCAGAGGACCAGAACAGACCGCAGCAAAAACGAACGCGCAAGACGGCCCGCGCGACGGCCCCCGGTCCCTCCACCCAACCCCCCGGATGCTCTGCATCATCTTTTCACGACGGCATGGAAAAGGTATCGGATACACTTGCTCAGAGGGGGGGGCGCCTTGCATGACCTGTTCTTT